TACCAACAATCACATTAAAAAAATATACACTTTAAAAAAAAACAAAAAAAAATCAGGTAGCCCTGAATTAGGACATTTAGGCTATCCATCTAATAGTAGCCTACCAAAATCTAATTAACAGTAGAAGTTAAATCTTACTGTAGTCTTCAAATCTGGGTACTGTCTTACGTTTTAAAATCACAAAGAGAGTTTGGTCCCATCAGGTTAACGTGACAGTCATGACTCATGCAGCTCTAAGCTTTTCTGCTTCTTTTGTTTTTCTCGCGATCTTCACAACACGCATTACATTACGTATTTCACGGCACACTCGTTTTATGTGTATTTGGCGCCACCTATTGTTGTGTGTGTATTATTGACATGTCAAAGTCTAGACCCTGAATATAAGACCACCGCGTTTTTTCAAAAGTATTTCCAAGAAAAAAACAGTCTTATATTCGGGTCAATACGGTAACTCCGACTGGATTCGTCTGAAAGAAGAAAGTCATATACACCTAGGATGACTTGAAGGTGAGTAATTTATGGGTTAATTTTTTAAGTGAACTAACCCTTTAATGAATCTTTGCAAATCGTCTTTCCTAATAATGTGCTAATTAGTAAGTTTCACAATGAATGCAGCTAAAGTAAACAGTCTCTCTGAGAGCAGCTCGAAAGAGAGGGGCGGGGTCAGCAGAGCTCATTAACATTTAAAGGAACATGCTACAAAACGGCTTGGTCTGAAAAGGGCTGGTTTTGACAGGATAAAAAGGGTGTTGTTTTACACTGCCATTGAGAAATTTTAACCAAACTATGTTACAGACTTTTCATTAAGACCCTAAAGAATCATATCAACTTGTGGAAAATGGGCATCCGATGACCCTTTTAAATGCAGCATAGCCTTCTCATGACTGTGCATGGATGAATCCATTTGTTTGATTGGCTGTTCTGTATTTCCTCATGTGTAACCATGTTCATTAAGAATAAATCTGTTTACAGTGCATTGTGTTCTATGATTAATTCTTGTATTTAACCAAGTGTTATACACCACATTGAGGAGATTACTAAACGTCGCTGTAATGCAAAGCACACGAAATACCTTTTGTTAGAAGTTTTTTTCTCACTGAAGTTTGGTGCATTATGTTTTGAACAGTCACTTTTTACAGACACAGAGCTGGACACATGTGAGCCTGATCTTACACTAATGACACAAAGAACAGAGAGGAAAAAACATTATTATGGGATTTGTGTTGCAAGTTTTTTCTCTCTCAAAAACATTTTTTCCCCATCAAAAGACTTTCTTTTTCTCTCTTCAAAGTGGAGAGATAAAATTAGCATGCAGTATTAACCTCGTAAGTAAGTATAACATCTAACACTGCTTTCTCTGTTTATTTGTGAATAATGCATTTACAAGAAGGATTTGAACATTACAATTAAAACAAAATCAGGTTACATATGGCATTTGTCGCCATATGGCATTGTTCACGTTTAATTTTAAGGCTTCTGTACGATCTAGTGTTTGATTGCTACAATATAAACTACCAATACAAGCTAACTATACCTACATGTATGACCAACACTGAGAAACATTAAATACCTTTTGGTAGATGATGGTTGTTTCTCACTGAAGTTTGGTGGATTATGTTTTGAACAGTCACTTTTCACAGACACAGAGCTGGACACATGTGAGCCTGATTGTACACTAATGACACAAAGAACAGAGAGGAAAAAACATTATTATGGGATTTGTGTTGCAGGTTTTTTCTCTCCCAAAAACATTTTTTCCCATCAAAAGACTTTTTTGAAGAGAGATTATTTTCTCTTCAAAGCCTTTTCTCTTAGCATTTTTCCTCTCTCTGATTTCTTTCCTCAAGAGGCAACACAGGAGAGATAAAAAATAATGGCTATCAAAAATTAGCATGCAGTACCAACATCGGTGCCTGTAAGTATAACATCTAACTCTGCTTTCTCTGTTTATTTGTGAGTGATGTAGCGTTTGGACCAATCAGACACACATTTGTTCATTAGATTTAACAAATCAATTATTCATTAGATTAACATACATTCAGACCCCTCACCCAATAAACATACTGGGTGCCTGGATGTCTGCGAACGACCACAGGCCCCTGGTCACCATGGCAACCACGACACCTTTGCTAGACCAGATAAACTTTATGACCTAATGGCATGTTGAGAGTTCTCCCTCTCACTATATTTTAGACACATAATGCACAGCAAAATGGACTCTTCTCTAATTAATTCATAGGAAAACCTTTCTGTGACTGAACACACATCTCCTCAGGACATTGTGTATACCATTACTTTTCTCGTATATTGTCTGTTGAATTGTATACTGTTTTGTGTGTGTTATGACAGATCACTAGTTAATATAACCCCACCGATACCATGTTTGGTCTCTTTGAATTTGTCTTCTGATGATCTAAATGAGCATTTATATTTTATGTGGGTACATAGGCAATATATTAGTGTTCTTTAGTAACTTTATATATTAGTGTTCTAAGAATCTTTAGTAATTTTGATTCGAGTTCCATATGCAAATGGAACTCACACAAAGTTCCAAAGTCCCATGCTCTCACACAACGGGTCATAAAACTCCCCAGTATTTCCAACCTCCCGCTTGGAATTTCAGCCTTTCTCATTGGACAAGCCCATCCTGAGAGGCGTGAATCTTCTCAGACCTTAAAAGGCTCACGCACAGTTCCGCCCACGTTGTGTTTTTTTTCTCCTGCTCAGTCTTCTGCTAAAACCTTCTGATTGCGGCCAACACATAGCCAGTCAGTCTGCGGTTTTGTTAGATGCTGAGATGATGAGGATGTGAGCTAGCACCCCTCTAAGGGCACCCTAAGTCTGCGCCAGGCCTCGGGCCTTGACTTTCCATTCACCAAAGGTCCTAGGATCTCAGCTGATGTCTCTCTTATCTCTTTTTCACTTTCCACTGTGAAGAAATTCCCAGTCACCATCGAGTCAGAACATCTTTGGAGTTCATCACTCTTCAAACCCGAAAGAAGGTGATCGCGACTCCTACACCACCGAACCTCCAAACCATCAAGACTTTCATCCGAGACGGCATCCGTACACTCGTTCCAGGCCAAGGCAATGCAAGTATCGTACATTTAACTAAACGAAACAGAGGTTTAGTTAAGCTATAGACCCCGTTATAAACGGCGCTGATGGTTTTACTCAGGTGATTAACTGACTCTTTCCATAGCTTCATTCTCTGGTTTTCCTGATGGTTTCATCCATCAAGCCTCATTTGCCCTTTCCCCTGTATGAGTGATTGTTTGTTTGTTTGTTAGACTAGTTTGTGTTAGTGTTTAGTTAATAAATCTCTTGTGCACAAATTAAATGAGTTTCTGATTCTGCCTTGCAAATTAATGTCCCTTTACGATTTTGATCCTTGCTACATGCTCTAATGCATTAATACTGTATGAAAGTATTTTACTGTGGCCACAGAAATATTCATTTCCTAGAGTTGATATGAATTTACACTGAATGTTCGCTGGACGAACAGATTAGTTGAGGGCAATTTAATTCTGCTACAGTTACTACTGGCAGCTGATATAAATAATTGTAATTAATCATAATTAATTGTAATTGTTTATATTAGGGATGCTCCGATCCGCCTTTTTCGCCTCCGATACCTAGGGTTCGGTATTGGGCAATACAGATACCGATCCGATATCAGTGAATTTTTTTCCCCAATTTAAATAAATGTAGAATTTATATATCTCTGTGAAAGAATGATTAACAGTTCCACACACAATCTACTAGATACAGACTACTTCATTATAAAGAAAAATAAAATAAACAAATATGAAAAAATATAGGCCTATGTATATTTATAATCTATGAAAAATATTGATAATAAACTAGGTTAGTGTCACAGGTGCACTGCTGAGCGGACTGAGGAGCAAGGAACGGAGAGAGACGAGGAGTACATCAATCCAAATGCCTCCGGAAGGCGTGTCCTCACGCCATATAACATCCAATGGGGAGGGGGGGTTGGGCACTCTGGAGGTCCCTCAGGACAGACACGGGACAGTGGGCCTCCAGAGCAGTACCCGTTCCAGGTGCCATGGCGGAGCCGGGGACTCGGGAGGTCATGGCGGAGCAGGGGACTCGGGAGGCCAAAACGGAGCAGGGGACTCAGGAGGCCGAGGAGGAGCAGGGGACTCGGGAGGCCATGGCGGACTCAATTCAATTCAATTCAATTAAAAAAACTTTGTTAATCCCAAAGGGAAATTGCTTTCCATGTTACAATTGCTCTCAAGAAAGAAAGAAAGAAAGAAAGAAAGAAGGAAAGAAAAAATATATATATATATACCTATATATCAATAAAATAAAAAAAATAAATAACAATAAAACACATGTAAATAATAATATAAAACTATACCAGTAAAAATGGTAGTTTAGATCAAATATAAAATTAATTAAAGTGGAATAAAATGACAAATGTGCAATATAATAAGTCCAATATGGTAATGGTAATTAAGTACAGTTGTTATATAGTATGTATTGCACACTAATCTTAGTATTAATAAATAGGCAGTAATAATAATAATAATAAATTGCATTGCACAA